AAAGTTGTACATAAACCCAACAACTATGTATAACTATAAAGCTCTAATTTTTTATTGAAAAGCTATACATAGCCATATATGGATGCACATGCCTGTAATCCCAGCAACTTGGGAGACCGAAACAGGAGGATTGTAAATTTGAGGCCAGTCTGGGAACTTAGTAAGATCCTGTCAGAAAATAAACAAAAAGGACTGGGGATGTGGCTCAGTGGTAGAGCATCCTGGGTTCAGTCTCCAGTACCACACACACACTAAGCTATACATATTTCATGGGCACACGTCAATGAGTTTGGACACAAGAATAGACCCATGAAACCATCATTATTACTAATGACACGAGTACATTTATTATCTTCCAAGGTTTCCTCCTGGCCTTTTTATTATTGTTGTTATTGTAGGTATAGTTATACAGTATTGTTAACCATGGACACTATGATAAATAGTTGATTTCCAGGATGTATTTATCTTGCATAACCATTCCCTTCAACCACCACTTCTCAATTTCTCCCTGTCACAAGTACTGGCAACCACCATCCTATTCTATGAGTGTGACCATTTTAGATTCCACTCATGAGATGATATAGTATTTGTATTTGACTTCACATAACCTCTGCTTTATGCATGATGTTATAAATGCCAGAATCCCCTCTTTTTAGAGGTTGAATAATGTTCCATTATGAAAAATACCACATTTTCTTTATTACTCACCTGTTAAGACATTGAGTTGATGCTATAACTTGGCTACTGTGAATAGCACTGCATTGAACATGGGAATGCTGATAAATCTTTAAAATCTTTATTTCAATTCTTTTGGCTGTGTACCCAGAAGTAATATTTCTGGATAATAAAGCACTTTCATTTTTAATTTTTTTGAGACGCCTCCATACTGTTTTCCCTAACATCTTCACCAATTTACATTGCTACCAACAGTRTACAAGAATCYCCTTTCTTTCCTATCATCKTCAATACTTATCTTTTGTTTTTGTATTGTATTAAGTAGCCATCCTAATAGATGTGAGTCTATAACTCATTGTGGTTTTCATTTCCAAAATAACTTGTGATGTTGAGCATCTGTTCTTGTATCCATTGGCCATGTCTACATCTTGAAAAAATATCTGTTCAGATCCTCTGTCTAGTTTTTCAGTCACATTTTGCTTTTGCTTTTCTCTGTTTTGCTGTTCAGTTTTATAAATTCCTGGTATATTTTGGATATYAATGCCTTATTGGATATATGGTTTGCAAATCTTTTCTCATTTCACAAGTTGCCATTTCATTTTATTGGTTATTTCCTTTGCGGTGCAGAAACTTTTTAGTCTGATGTAATCCCACTTGTTTATTTTTTCTGTTGTTGCTTGTGCTTTGGTGTCCTATCCAAAAACTCATTGCCAAGACCAACATCAAGGAACTCTTCCCCTATGTTCTCTTCTAGGAGCTCTATAGTTTCAGATCTTAAATATTTAATCCGTTTTGTTGTTGCTGCTGTCCTCTRTGATTTTTTCCAATTCTTTAAAACATTTAATCCATTTGAGTTAATTTTTATTAATAGTATAGATAGTGGTATAGTTTTATTCTCTGGCACATGGATATCCAGTTTCTCCAACACAATTGATTGATGAGATTCTCCTTTGTCATTTTGAAATCTTGGTGTCCTTCTTGAATATTGGTTGCCTGTATATACATAGGTTCATCTCTGAGCTCTTTGTTCTGTTCCATTGGTCTATGTTAAAAATGTTTTTAATATTTAAATGTTTAAATTTATGCCTAAGTGCATTATAATAGTTATGATCTGTTTTTAATGCCACTACCATATTATTTTGATTGCTATAGATTTGTACTGTAATTTGAAATCAGGAAGTATGATGCTTCCAGCTTTTTTCTTCTTGCTCAGGGTTGCTTTGGTTAGTCAGGATCTTTTATGATTCCATAAGAATTTTAGGATTTTTCTTCTATTTTTTGGAAAAAGTGCATTGGAATTTTGACAGGGATTGCACTGAATGTGTAGATTACTTTGGGTAATGTGGATACTTTAACTATTAATTCTTGTGATCCATGAACATGAGATTTCTTTCTTTTTATTTATGTTTTAATAATTTCTTTCATCACTGTTTTTTAAAAATAGTTCTCAATGTACAGCCCTTTCATGTCTTTGGTTAAATTTATGCCTAAATATTTTATTCTAAGGGCCGAAGTTTGTCTGATAATGTCTATCAGAACCATGTTAAAGTGTCTTTTAGTTGTTTCACTATGTAAAATGCTATACCTGTTCTAAATATTTAGAATGTTTCAAGACAATAGAAATTGAAAACTTCAGCAAATTTAGAAAATTTTCCAAATTCAATATAGTAACCATATTTTGTTGGCCAGGTAAGCTGTACCATATTTAAAGGTACAGTGCTTTGATTACCTCAACCTTGGCTTTCAAAGTTAATTTTAATTATCAAGGTTCCAGGAGACTTTAAAATGCATTTTAAGGTAAATAGATATACTTTGCAACACTTTTATAATAGCAAAAAACTGGAAATGGCTGGGTCCAAATTAGTGGCAATGATGGCAGTAATGGCAGCAGTGTCAGCAGAAGTAGTAGGGGAAGCTCCAACCATCATGTTCATGCTTTTTATGAGGACAGCTCTGGGACCCAATGTGGGAGGCAGGTTCCCAGAACTTGTCCATGTGGCATTGCACATTAAGGACAGGAACTGCTGGCACTCAGGCAGAATATTTTTTAGTAAATTATCACAAAATAAAAGCAAACACATGGAGGATGCAATAAAGCATATCAGGGAGTTCCTAAGAATTCATCATAGTTTAAAAAATCATCAGTTTTGAAAACAGCTACAGCATTACAAATCAAATATCCATGTATCCATGCTTAGAAATAAAAATGAAATTTAAATGGCATTGCATTTGACAAAAAAAAGAAAGAAAGACAGAAAGAAAGAAACACTTTTCATGTGAAGCTTTGACTAAACCAAGAATTTTATTTTTACTTTGTCATTGAATATATACCAATAGAATGCATAGGGAGCGTTTTGCTGTAGATACTAAGCATAAAGCCATATACAGATTCTTGCATAGCCTCCACAAGTTACATGGGATGTCACAGGAAACATTAAAATGAATATTGAATAAATTTACATTTAAAAAGAAGTTCACACATGAAACTGACTCGTATTTTAGAAAAATTGTTCTATGGTACTTAACAGCTCTAAGTGTTATGAATTTTGAAATGATTATTAGAAATTTATCCAAATACTGTCACAGCCTGTAAATTCTCTTAATAATTCCAGCAACAGATACATCTGCAAGGAAAACTCTTTTCAAAATTAAAAATTGCCAAAAATTGTTGGTTATCTTGTATTTCCCAAGAGCAACTGACATCACTTTCAATTAGGTCAACTGAAAATGAAATTGCAAAAAGTATTAATGGGGAAATACTAAATGAATTTGCAGAAAAGTGAGCCAGAAAAATCTTATGATTAATCAAAATATCATTATTATTCATTTTATTATAGAAAATTATGACACCAAAAGTGTTTTCTGCTGATTTGTAAGTTTGGGTTGTTGTATCTCACTAGCACCCCTATTACATTTCATGGGTAATATTTTTAAAGGAAAATTTTACATTTTGGTAATTTTCATATTACATTTCCCTTGCTTTTTATCAGGGAGCCCCATATTTCCTTTTTTGCCCTGGGCCCTGCAAATTATGTAAGTAGCCTGCCAATATTATTTGGGGAAGGAAAATTTTCAAAGCTGTCAATAGCAATTGAGCACAGCAATCACACAAGAACTTCAGTTTTGCTCCTCTGAAACTTTACTTTTGGACTAACTTTCTAATAAATTGAAGCAATCATTGTTACTTCATTGGTTTAGCATTTTATTTCTGAAAAATCAAGGAAATTTTTTGCAGTTGGAAATATTATTTGGTCATCAGAAGAGTAGCCAACCTTGTTTGTCCCATCAATGTGTTTTTTGCACACATTCCTGTGTGTTATTTGCCAGGTGTTGAAGCTCCATGGAAAAATAAATATAATTTCTGTTGTAAATAATTCATTTAGAGAGACAAATGAAAAATAGTAGATTATAATACAGTACTTTAAGGATGGCCACAAAAGTGTGCACAGGTGATTATAGTGGTATCAGAAAGTAAAATGTAATTAACCCAATGGGATAGCTGGAAAGGTCCCTGCCAACATGTTTCAAGAATGTCTAGGCTGGAATGGACTTGCATTCTTATTGGAATCCTTTTGTTTTTATGCTTAAATGTGGAGCAGAGAGTCTACTGCCTGACATCAGATACCCACCAGCCTTGCCACCAGTACAAATATTGCTTARTGGGATTGGCTCTCTTCCTTCCTTCCCTAGACATAGCTCTAGAGCCTGTTTCTGTCTAGCCTCAACGTTCTCATTCCCATATCTCAGCATGTCTATTGGTTTATATTTTTTCAAAATAATTGGAATTAATTTTGTATTCTGTTTTAAGGGTAAAGGTTAAATCTATTTATTCATTTAATAATAGTAACTGAGTGTTCAGTAAACTCAGAAACCTAGTTTCTTCCCTCATGGARCTTGTGTTTTAGTGATATATTTTATTTTTCAATCAATGTGACAATAGCTGATTTTAAAAAATTAGAATTATGGATTTTACTATAAAAATAGGACATATCTGAGGTTGGGAGCACAGCTCAGTGGTAGAGTATTAGCATGTTCAAAGCCCTGAGTTCAATCTCTAGCACTGTAGGAAAAAAAAAAGAATAAAGAAAAAGAATCTTTATAACAGAGCAGCCTTTTATAGCAACAAGATTATAGCTAGCTTTTCTGATTTGCAGTTTCATTAAAGACCAGCTTATTCCATTACTTCATATAATTAAAATGAAGTTTAAAAAAGCTTGTTCCACTTGAATTTAGCTAATTTTACTATTTTTCATTAATTTTACTTAATAAGTAAAGAAACTTATAAATAACTGAATATAGAATGATTTTATTTCAGAGTTGAGAAAATGGGAGATAGTTCCACAGACACAGAAAAAGAAGAGGATGAGGAAGAGGAAGAGGAAGAGGAAGAGGAGGATGAAAAAGCTCAAAAAGACCTCACCTATGCCATAGTGCCCACAATTAACATTCAAGATGAGCGGTTCGTGGATTTGTCTGAAAGTCCAGCTTTCATTTGTCTGAATGAGGTATATTCTCTTCGCATAATTATTACTATAATATAATCTGAATCATCATCTACTTAAAAATTCAGATGAAGTAAAAAAAAAAAAAAGGGTTTTTTTGTTGTTGTTGTTTTGTTTTTTTGTGTGTGTGTGTCCTGGAGATTAAACCTAGGGTCTTCAGCACACTATTCAAGTGCTCCAACATCGAGCTATTCTCTCAGCCTCTCATCAAAATTCTTTATTACATATATCCTATAGACAATATATACAGTTTGAAGTTCTCTAAAACAAAATGGGTCCTGATTTTTCATCTGAAGAACTTGTCATATAGTTCTGGACTAGTGCAGTAGTATAGGATCTGATATTTTTAAAGCACAAAAAGTATTTTTCATATATGCAGTTGGTTAAGTACATTTTATAGATTGATACATGAAATAAAAATATTTAATGATTGTATATATAAAATTTACTTTCATGAAATGAAGATAAAAGTTCTTGTCATAAAATAATAGAAAATTATTAACCTGATTAAATGTAGTTACTGAAGTAGAACACTGACATCTGCTTCCTATCTGCAAAGAAGCAAAAATGCAGGTATGACCAATTAYATATTCTTATTTTCTGATTTTTGTAAAGCGAAAGGAAATACCCATTTTTGAGAAGAGTTGGGTTTAAAAAAAATTAAYTGAACACATAGAGAACTGTTACTTCGTCATGCTTGTGAGCTATGATTAAAAAAAAAAAAAAAGAGGAAGAAGAAGAAGTTGTTTAGAGGACATCTGAATTCCTGACTATTAACTTTAAGTATTTTGCATTAGCTTTCTGTCACTGTGACAAAATGCCTGACATGCACAACTTAAAGGAATAAAGATTTATTTTGGCTCAGTTTCATGGGTTTCAGTTCATGGTTGGCTACGGGCCTGTGAAGAGGCATAGTATCATAGTGGGGAGGGATAGTGGAATAGAGCTGYTCACCTCATGGTAGCCAGAAAGCAGACAAAGAGAAAGGGTCCAGGGACAAAATTACCCTTCAAAGGCATGCCCTCAGTGACCTAGTTCTTTAAGTAGGCCCACATTCTAATAGTCAATTCAGCTATGAAATCATCAATGGATTAATACATTGATAGAGTTAGCACCCTGATGATACAGTCAATTCCTAAAAGTCCTACCTCTGAATACTGCTGCATTGGGGACCAAACCTTCAAAACTTTTGGGGATACTGCTGCATTGGAGACCAAATTAATAAACATAATTCATGAACATAATTAATAAACATAATTCAGATCTAAACCTTAACAACAGGACAAGAGATTTACAAGCACAGTAAAAATAAGCTTAAGAATTCTTGAAGCAGAAACACAGTTTATTCAAAACCAGGAAGCAAAAGCCAAAGGGGAATAAAATGCAATGAAAAGGTAATTTAAAAAATAATAGTGGTGTGTGTGTGTGTGTGTGTGTGTGTGTGTGTGTAGGATCTAAATTACTAAATTGTTTACTTTTTCTATAGTTTTTCTTCTCTTATTCTGACATAATTTTAGTCATACAGAAATTGCAAGATAGTACAAAGAATTCCTACGTACCTTTCATTCAAATCCCCGATGTTAACATCTTACTGCATTTACTTTATCGTTTTTTTTCCTTCTTTCTGTGTCAATTTTCCCTCCCTTTGAAGGTGCCCTTTTATAACTAAATGCACCATTGTGTTTTCTAAAAATAAGTTCATTCTTTTCCATAGTGCAATTATATAAAAAAATCAATATTGCTACAATACTGTTATCTAACCTACAGACCTTATATAGATCTCAATGTTCTTTTTTCTGGTTGGGGGGGCATGGGTACTGGGGATTGAACTCAGGGGCACTCAACCACTGAGCCACATCCCCGCCCTATTTTGTATTTTATTTAGAGACAGGGTCTCACTAAGTTGCTTAGTACCTYGCTTTTGCTGAGGCTGGCTTTGAACTCACGATCCTCCTGCCTCAGCCYCCTGAGCCTATGGGATTACAGGCATATGCCACTGTGCCCAGCTCAATATGTTCTTTATATCAAAAGAAACTCCCATATTAGAYACTGCATTCAATAGTCTCCTCTTTAGTCTCCTTTAATCTGGAACAGCTCTTTARAATTTTTTAAATGTTTATAACATTGACACTGTTAAACAATAGAGGACAGTTATTATGTAGAATTTCTTTCAATTTAGATTTGTCTGATGTTTTCATCATCAGATTCAAGTATGTATTTTTGGCAGGATCATCAGACATGTTATTTTCTTCTCCTGTATCTCATAGCAGACACAGGATGTTGATTTGTTCCATTACTATTCTTGTTAACCTCGATCACTTGGCTAAGGTGGTGACTTCCAAGTTTCTTCTCTATTTATTACCATGATTTTTATGTTTGAAACTAATAAACACTTAATGGGGAGGTATCTAAGACTATGGATGTATATTACCCAAAATCTTTTTACTTATTAGGTTGGTGTCTATTGATGATTCTTGCCAAATGGTGAATTTTTTTTTCCCAGTGCAGAGAATCAAATCCATATTAGGCAAGAATTCTAGCACTGAGCCACATCCCCAGCCCAAATGTTTTGTTGTCATTATTGAGATGGGGTCTCAGTGTGTTTCCTGGGCTGGTCTCAAACCCTGCAGTTGAGAGATCCTCCACCCCAGCCTTCCAAGTGCTGGGACTACAGAAGCAAGTCACTACCTTCGGCTCCTTCTACAATTGTTTTAGGTAGCTTCCTACTCTAAGGAAGAATTTTTTCACTTTCCAATTTATATATCTGACTATTTAGCAATATAGACTTATGGATTTTTATTTTATTTAGTGGGTTATAATCACTTATTGCTATTATCCATTTTTATTCTTTAATTATTCCTGATTTGGCCAGTATGCATGTCTTCAGGTAGGCTCATTTGTCCTTTGAAACTGCTGTCATAATTCCTTGTGCAATTCCTTACTTTTTGGTACAAGAATGTGTTTTAGGCTCTTTTTATATCTTCTTTGCTCCAGCATTCAAAACATCCATTTCTTGGAGAATCTAGAGTTTCTTTTAGTGAAGAATAATATTTGAAAACTAAGATCCTAATGCTGGTTATGGTCATTACTACTGGTATGTCATTGATTCTAAGTCCTCTAAGTGGACAGAGTAAGAAACAGGTACATGAATATTTGCATCTACACAAATTTATATCAATTTCTATGTGTACTTTTACATATTTAAAACCATGTACTTATACATGATCATGGCTCTCTGTTTCTACTAAAACACATCATGTGTCCAAGTTTGCAATAAAATTTCTATCCTTAATAATTCTGATAATACTAAGGCTAAACTTTTGTCATAAATTAATTTAACATTGCTACCGAAGAGTTTTTAACAATGTACTTATGATCATCCATTTTCAAGTCTGTCATAAGTTGTTTGAAATCCAGTCTCTTATAACCTAGTTAAATCATCCCCTCCCCATGTGGTTGAGATACAGCCCACTTGTTCCTCATCTCACTGGTCCCAAACCTAACACACAGCTGCTAACCATGATAAAACTTAATGGTCAACACCAGAACATTATAAGTAAACCCCTCCCCCATTCACATGTGTTTTCTTTAAACCAGACAATTCACAACCCCTGCAGGAATACCTAAGCAATAAGGCCCATGAACCTTAATTAAGGCACAGTTAAGTCCTCTCTTATTTGCTTCTATATGTTGGTTGAGCTCCTCCAAACTTCTTATCAGGCACCCTCCATTACCATCCCTAAACTCTCTGGGATGTGTAATACGTTTCTTCTGTTTCATGTATTTGTTTCACCTCTTCATTATTGTCTCATTTAACTGACATACCCATGTCTAACTTCCTCCCTACATCTTGCTCCCCAGGTCAGGCCTCTTCCAAACAGTGGCTGTTGTGGCTCATGGCTACTCTCGGCAGAGAGATCTCAAGACCAAATTAGGCAGAAATCATAACAAGAAATAAAAAATCACAACAACTTAAGCTTATTCATTTCTAGCAAATTTATGCTAAGAGTAAAAATTATATAATCAAGTTTTTTAAGCCAAAAATGAATCACAAAAGATGATTTATTTTTGGCTTAAAAAACCAAAAATGAAAACCACAGGAGAATTTAGGACAATTTTTGTGTGTTTATCTTCAATAGAACAACTTATTAAGTATTTCAAAAAACTTTCAATACACATGCATGAACAAAGTATAATTATTTAACATTGGATATAATAAGTCTGAGCAAATGGATACACAAGAGATTTCAATAATGGTGTCAAAGAAATGTCTATCCACTCTTATGCATAAAATCAACATTAGCAATTTTGCTGCATATGAACTGTTTCTCAAACTTGTTGAGATCTTACAAAATAAATTATTAGCATCAGACAACTATTTTGCATAATAAACACCACTAAGGGACTGCGAGTGTTCCTCAGTTGTAGAGGAACTTGCCTGGCATGCATGAGATCCTGGCTTCTATCCCTGGCACCCCCAAAAAACAAAACAAAACCCAAACTACCAAGTCATTTTTGAGCTTTGGCACCTGTAGCTTTGTTTTTCTAATTCTAACAACATTTCTCTTTAGATTTATGGGGGATCTTAAAGTTTTTAATCGTCTTTGTATAAAGTTGTTGTTATAGTTTAGATATTAGGAGTCCACCAAAAACTCATGTGTGAGACAATGCAAGAAGGTCTAGAGGTGAAATGATTTGAGTTATGAGAGCTTTTACCCAATCAGTGAATTAATCCCCTAGCAGGGATTAACTGAGTGGTAACTGCATGCTTGTAAATTGCAGCTGGAGGAGGTGGGTCACTGGGGAGGCGTGCCTTTGGAGTATATATTTGGTGAGCTGAGCCTAGGCTCTCTCTGCTTTCTGATCATCATGTGAGCCGCTTCCCTTCACTATACTCCTCTGCCTTGAAATCCTGCCTCACCTTGAGCCCTAAGGAATGGAGCAAGCTGTCGGTGGCCTGAGACCTCCAATATAAAACTGTGAGCTCCAACAAACTTTTCCTC